CTGAACTCTGGCTTGTTGATAGTCAGGTCAACCCCGAGCAGGACCTAAAAACGACTGATATGCACCCAAATGCTACAGAAGAAATTTTCTAAATCTATTACTTCACTCTCTGGAAACTCAGCTTTCCTCTTAAAAAAAAGCCACAAAACCAACCGCCACAAAACCAACCTCCTGCTGACCACCTTGCTATTCAGATTGTAAAAGACTTCAAGAATATGAATTGAAAACAGCGATTCACAAATCTTGCTAAAAGCACCAAAAACACCAGATCAGAGGGCTGCAGTAACAAAGTCATCAAATCAGTTATCTACTTAATTTTTCACAAAATATCAGAACAGAGCCATATGAAAATTTTTCTGTATTACATGTCTCACATTGGAAATTTAAGAATATTTCCTGAATGCAATCAGTCTGCTTCATTATCATTTCAGGAAGAAAAAAGGCAAACCAAAACAACCAGTCACACAAGAGTTTCCATGTGTGCCCTGTTCCCCCACCGCTCCCCCCCACTCTCCCTAACCACATTCCAAAACCATGAGCAGATTACAGATTCCTACCCATGGAAATAAGTGGTTCACAAAGGGTACATTTGGCAGCATAAACCACCATTCTGTAGTATTTGAAAGGGACAATATAAATTGTTTGGTTTACTTGAAGAGTATTGTTTCTGCCAATTAACAGACTACTGCATTCTAGGACAGCATTTCACGGTCGTGTATTAGACGGATGCCAAATAAGAAGCTAGATTGTTGACTCTCCTCCTTTCACAGTTATCTTGATTTAATTTCACATTCACTCTCACTATTGAAATGTTGAATAATTATTCTGAATATAAATCATTATAATGAAGGAGAAGGAAAGTACAGTTCTCAAGGCCTTTATTACATGGGCCTGGACTCTGTTAACAGGGCAAGCCTCTGTTACATTGATAAAAGACTATTTTATCATATATCGGAACTGTGTGCTCTTCAATCATTTTGCTTATGCTGTGTCATCAGAAAATTTTGGGAAAAGACACATTCAAAGATTCCCTTCAGGCCACAAATCCCCTCCAACAGTAAAATAAAAATTCTCCTTACTGCATACAAAAAAAATTGAATAAAATCGGGTATCGCATTTCAAAACAAAAACCACTGAGCACAGCCTTTCCCTTGGGCTTTTTACAGTTGGTATTCTCAGACGTGATTGATATCTTGCTAGGTCAGTGACGTTCCACTCTCTGACGAGACTTTTGGCAAACTGCAAAGACACATGAGATCAGTGGCATGGGAGTGGATCCATGCAGATGGGACCTTCTGCCCTGAGGAACACCAATGACTTTAGCGGGCCTGTACAGATACAGGAGTCTACCAATGCAAACCTGAACAGAAGACCAGCAACAGCACAAGAAATTACAGAAGCAATGGAATAATGTTTCACTCTTAGGAGCGCTGGAGTAAATTAATGACAATTTCTGCATCTTTTATTTTTAAATATGTGTTTCGTTATATTACTAACGGTATTAATGTAAGATATTAACATAGTTCACAAATTTAGAAATTGGTATTTTTAATGTACTTACCAATAAAAATTCCAGTCTTCATTTTCTGACACCTGAATCCAGCCTCTTTTTTCAAAGTTGTTTATTAGAACAGATTTTTCTATGTCAGTTACCCACTTTACTTTTCCTGCCATTATCCTAAAGCAGAATCAACCTGTTATAAAACAAAAGTTTAAAGATGTGAAGCTGAAAACAGGGGAGAACACAAACTGCGAAAGTCAAAGGAGAAGAAAAGTGGTGCCCAGAAAGCACTTTAACTTAAGTAAGCTAGAAGTAGTAAATTAATTTAGAAAGAAAGGAAAATAACTTCTTAGTTTCAGTCTTAAACCCAACATTTGTCAAGCGGACAACTACAAACAAGAACACTAGTTACAAGGATCTTTCACGCTCCCCAGCCAATCCATGTTTTATGAATGGGCACACAACTAACGCATGTCTCCCCTTAAATACGCTAATGACAGAAATCACTATCATACACTTACTGGGTAACGTTTACAGAACCAAGCACAGAGCACAGACATTATATTATTTATTATTTCCAAGACTTATATGCATATATATTTTCTGAAGTTGGAGAGTTCATATGGACCACTTAGTGACTGTAGACAAAGAAAATTATTCTAAGAGAAATCCCTTACATGCTCTACCAAGAATCACGATTTGCTATACTGCAAGGAAAGGAACCAAAGTAACACTACCAACTTTGCGCTGTCTTGTCTGTACTTCATGAAGCCATAATTTTGCCTTCTGTTCTAGCTGGGGGGTGGGATACACTGATATTAAACCCTTAAAGGCAGAATTTCTCCAAACCTAAGGCTGCATTTCAATTCATGACACCTAGGTGTCACTTTCTACATTAGATCTCTCATTTGTCCACATCAGCCTTTCCTGTTAGGATCACAAAATCATTCTTGTCAGAAGGGACCTCAGGAGGTCAACTCAGGGTTAGCTACAAAGTCAGACCAGGTTGCTCTGAGCTGCTGAAAACCTTCCAAAGATGCATGGCTTCTCTGGGTATCCTGTCTCACTGCTTGACTGGCTTCATAAGGAAAAGGGTTTTTTTTACCCATATATTTTTTTCCATATATTCTGAACCTCTCTTCTTTCAGCTTATGCCTGTTGCCTCTCATCTTCCTACTCTTCACCACGCTAAAGAGTCCAGGTCCGTCTTCTTGATAACCTCTCATAGGCATAGGCAGGCTGCTATAGGTAACCCCAGAGCCACCTCTTCTCCAGGCTGAAGAAACACAGTTGCCCCCGCTTCTCCTCAACAGGCAAGTGCTTCAGCCCCCCAACCACCTTGGTAACCCTCTGCTCAGCTCACTCCAGGTTACTGATGTCTGTCTTGTTCTGAGGGGCTCAAGTTACTTTTGCCCATCGTCTGATATTTTGTGTTACATCCTTGCCTTTTTTGTTGGGTAAAGACAGACAAGTTTAGCAAGGTGGGGATGCACAAAAAATGCACTGAAGGGGAAGACGGAGGACAAGCCCAGCACCCACAATTGCTATTTCTCCGAAGGACAGGCTCAACCGTCTCTGACAGCAGCAGCCACTCATCCGCTTGCACTCTCCTTTATAAGGGCTGTTTGGCAAGATCCCCTTCACGCAGTGTCTCATATCGTGCATTAATGTAATACCAATGAAGGCGGGGGCAAAGAAATATTAATTGTTTGAATTAATTTTCTGAAAATTCAAGAAGCACGTTGTCCTTCGTGCATACATAGTCTAGAGCCAAAAGCCTACAATCCATCTGATTCAGACAGAATACTATATTTTATACAACTAACAACATATTTACCCCATCTCTTAAGTAAGTGGTGAAGCCCAGCCTTCCAGGATCTAGGCCTGATTAATATACAATCATTAAGCAAGCTAACAAAACATACATAAATGAGCAAATTATAATAACTGATAGAGTCAAGAGTAGACAGCTCGCATAAGCAGTTTCAATGTTGCTGTTTAGTCTTTCTGCAACCTGTTCCACAAATTAGTTTTAAAATTTCAGCTTAGTGAATTTCCACAGTTATGTTTCACTGAAATCAACTGCAGGGAAGTGCTGATTCAGAAGAAAACCTCCTTGATCCAAAAGCACATTTTTTGTCACACTCCTCTCCCAGGAACAAAAACCACCATACATGGAAGTGGGGGAGAGTGGAGTTATACACACACGTAACACCATCTACTGCTCCCTCTACATATAATTTCCCACTGAAAAGACAATTTAAACTTTGAATCACTTTTACTGACATAATAATGTAATTAATGCAATAATTAATGTAGCTAGTAAAGTTTCTGTAACGAAGATACTGGACTGGAATTCAGTTTCCAGGACTAGAAATGGAGATGTACATCTGCTAGCAAGCTAACACCCCTATGGTTTCTCTTCTCCTGGGAGACACAGTCCATTATACAGTGCTCCCACTTTTTCCTTCCTAGACTGCTTAAACTGCCCAGCTCCACAAGGCAGAAATGTTAGACTATTAGACTTCTACTTTATAAAAGTTTTAGACACACTTATTTTTATTCATGCCGGTAAAACAAGTGGAAAACAAGCTTAAATAGATAGATAGAAAAGAGCATATGAAGGCTCAGGGTTCTGTCTTTTTGTGCGTACTTATAAAACACCTACTTCTATAAGGTCATGGTCTTTCTCTGGGTCTTCCAGATACTATCAAAACAAAAACAAACGAAACAAAGGGATTCATTTATTTGTACAGCGGTATGCATGATTCATAATCAGTGACTCAATAGTACCACACATCATTTGTTGTGGTTTTAGAAGTTCAGGGATCAGTCAGCTTGGAATAGAATTGTCCCTTCAAAAGGAAATGCATTAAATGCTTCAATAACATTAATGAAAACACACCATAAAATCTTCAAAAGGCCTTAAAACCTGTCCTCCGCATCTCCAAGCTACCCCATCAGTTTTACCAACATCCAACCCCAACGCTAAAGTCGTTTCTCTGTTACCTGACTCCTTGGTCTTTCTCCCTGCTTCCCAAGGGTGTCTCACTCCAGCATCCTTAGTATGTAAGCTACAACCACCCTCGGGGCTTGTTCTTCCAGAAATTCTGCATCAAACTGATGTAGCTGTCTGCACCTCTGTCTTTACAGAAGCACGTAGCTGCTGCCTAGCAAAGAGCAAGAGACCAGGTGCTCTGCCACAAGCAGGGCTACTTTGCCAACACTTCCAATGCCACAACCTCGTTTCTACCCTGAGATACGATAGTTGTTGCAGCATCCTTTCTATAGGATTCTTTATGAAGAGATTTCAACGCATGCTAGGCATCCTATGGCAAGTAACCCTGAAAGACTGCATGTACTCATGCAGCAAGTGGATTTTGTGGTAGCAAGAGGGACTGCTCCATGACTTGTTGTGCCGTCTTACTCCCAGAGACTGCACTGTTTGATTTCAGAAGCCAAAGAAAATTCAACAGAAGACTCACTCACAGGAAGGTGAGTTAAAACTAAACCAAAGCTAAAAATTGAAGATAACTTCTACCACAAATAAAAATTACAAGAGCGTCATTCTTTTCCTGTTCTGGGAACGTTAGCCCTTATAGATTCATCCCGCTACAGGAGGATTGAAAGAATAGCAATACAACAGCAGACTGAAAATTAGTCCTTGATTTATGTGGACAGTTCGATCATCTCAGACAATATTTAATTGGCCGGTAAATAAAATCTTCTGACTTTGTGTAATTTGATTACTGAAACTCACAAACAAGGAGTCATAAAAAATAACTTTGATTAAGTTGTACCAAAAACTTTCTTGTTTTCAGCAATATAATTTTAATATAATTTTCTACAGGAATCTGCTAATCTGCAATTAGGCATTCAACCTGATGAGACCGCATGAGATACTCACATATTCACACTTCTGTTCAGCTGAGATTCTGAGCTTTACTAAAGGTCAAAGAAGAGCTGTGTAACACAGCCCTAGCCTGCATGTAGTAGGGTAACGGCACAGGAAGTCAAACCCTTCTCAGAGCACCAGACCTCCTACTCAGGACAGAAGCAGCACGTAACACACAGGCACAGCAGGCCCAACACTTCCCCAGAACGCTGCCTTTACTGCCCAGGCTCGTCCCGGGCGCAGCAAGCAAACGTAAGGAAGCCCGG